TGAGGCACCTTCAATATTAATTTTCTTAGTAATCGTTGCCAAGTGGATGAAGGGCAAGGTCTGTGTCTGACCTTAGTTCAGTTTGCTTTATTATTAAAGCGCCTTCTTCCCAAAGTGCATTTGCTTCTTGGGTGTGAATTGTTGTTGTTACGCTGTTGTTTGTCAGACTGTGCAAGGCGAGAGCCTTCCAGAACACCTGAAAGAAGATGAGCGGATTTGAATGACGGTGGCAGATGCGGGCAGGCAAGGAGAACATTTTGTGCTTCTTTTGCTTTGTTTCTCATGGGTTTCTCCCTGTTCTTCTGAATACTCATACACCATTAAACCCCTGTTTTTCCATGGGAGAACATTCCAGCTTTGGTGCCTCTTTTGCCTGTTGTGTCTACAAACATTCAAGTCAGTCTTTGCTGATGTACAGATTTTGTTTTTTTTTTTCCTTTTGGTAATTATAAAGCAAGGAAGTCCATTTTTTGACTATTGGGGAAATAAGGCTCTTGGATTTTAAGGCCACACTCAGTAATTACTAGCTTTATTTTGGTGCTTCATCTCTTATGTGCATGTGAGGTCTGGTATATGGGAGTCCTGTGTACCAGAAATGTTTTGTTTTTCAGTTGAAAAACTTGGCTTCATGGCAGTGAAGATATGCTAGCCAAAATAAACAGAAGGTCAAAGTATGGGTTATATTAAGTCCAATTAGGATACCAGGATTCTTAAATCATGTAGAATTTGCCAGCATGGATTACATCACGACTCAAAGGACCCAGGATATATCACATTAGGTACAGAGGTTATCCATTTAATCTATGTCATTAGCCAGTGAAATGGGTAGTTTTCAGCTACCAGCAAAATTCAAAGGACTGAATGCAGAACCATTCAGCATCCTTCACCTATATTCTGAAATGAATAGCATGCCAATAAAACAGTCATTGTTTTACTAAATAACATTTTTCTTACATGGTAAATTGGTTTCTTTTATTTGTCTGTTTGCTGTCTTACACTTTCATACAAAGTTTGTTTTGTGTAGAAAGCTGAAAGCTGCTTTGTTGTAGTGACTACTCTGGTTCATGGGCAGAGGGTGTAATGAGTTACTTAGAAATTTTCTGTGTATAACCTGAATTTTTTCAGATTTATACTCTCAGTTTCTATTTAATCTCTGAGGTAGCACTTTCCAGGTGAAATGATCACCTGCTGTAGAAAAACCATTGACATCAACAAGTGCTCAAAAATGGAGATGAGAAAATTAGTTGTAACCTATCTGTAGGGATTTGGCTGTGTTTTCCTCAAGTATTTCCAATTCACATGTGAGATTTCAGGATGTACTGGGCAGGTATACTGATGGTCATCGGAATACTAAATTGGGGCTACTTCTCTGAATCCCTCTAGAAACGTAAACATCCAAATTCTTGAGGGCCAGGAATTTTGAACTTTGGGAGGAAGTTATCCAAGTTAGTTTTGCCTTCTTCAGTGTGTTCAGTTGTCTGGCACATTACTTGCAGTATTTGTTCCTAGTGTCTAGTTTAGATGTAGTTTAGACAACCAACATTTGGACTCTGTTTCTTGCACACTAAATGGAAAGACATAACAGAGGACCTGGCACTGTGGCAAGCTAGTGGTTTGGAAGGCCACTTTTTCGTTTGAAAAGACTCTGCAAAAGATGGGTTAACAGACAAGGCACCCTTGCTTCTACCTGCCTCTTCTGAGGTGTGCTATGGGTTTTTTTTCCCTCCCTGATTTTTAGGAGGTTTGTGAGAGAATTTATGTGTACAGAAAATATCTCCGAAAGTTAATGTTTGATTCTGTAACCAGAGCATGCAAAATTAAGTTAAAACCAGCTTTTAGATGGGCTTTGCAATCATGAGCTGACTTGAATGGGGTGACTGTGAGCAAATGAGGAGTATGATAGCAGCATGTCCATGTGGCCTTTCTTGCGCAAGGGGAATGCACACCTTGTTCAGATCATTGCCAGCCTGGGGAGACTACAGAATTGCAAAAGTTAGAAAATCTGCAAGCTTTTGATTGTGTTGTTCTTTTTAAAGTATCTGCCCTTGTTTACACTGATGCCTTGTGTTCCTCGACTTTTGAGAGATTAGTATAACTTGTTGGCCCTGGTTAGTCTGTGAGGGAAAGAGCCACCTTTTACTTCACAAATCCAAGTAATAACTCCTAGTGAAGTTATGGCAGTTCCTACCTTTCACCCACATTAGCAAGGTTTAGATGAGTGCTGGTCCTGGTTCGCCTTGCTTGGAATTTTTACCTTGCAATGCAATAATGAATACGTTAGTGAGAAGCAGAAAATATTCTCCATCCCTTTCCCCCCTCCTTGCATGACTGCACCCGACCACCACTGATGCTTTGTGAATGGGAAATTACAGCTACTAAATTTGACATTGTAGACATAACTTAGGATTGTGACTGTGCAAATGTCTACTTCTTTTTGTGTGTTTAAGTTTGGGTAAATATTTTGCAATCTGGGAAAATTTAAGAAAGTCCCTAACTGAGTAAATAGCCAACTTGTAATTGGAAGCAACTGTTTGGAGAATATTGTTATTGCTTTACATTTAAAAGAAGCTAGGTGCTGCAAGTTTGTGTGTTTAATCCATTATAAAACTCTGTTTAAATTGTTTAAGAATAATTCTTAGGTAACTGAAATAGGCTAGTCTGATTTAGGTAGCCAAACCATGTAAAAGGTTTAAAACTGTGCTTGAAAAATACCAAGGTAAAGACCAGTGCAAACATAGCTGCATTAGGATAGCTTGCCTATGAACATTTTTATTTTAATTATTTTTCTAATGACTTCCTCCTAAGATTTCATCAGAGTGGGTGGGTCAGGTTTTCTTCTCCCTCTTTCCATTCTTCTGTTCTGAAAATTTTAGCAGGGAATTTGGTAAACTTCAATCTCAGTAGTTAGTGAAGTGGCTAATTTTTCTGAAAACTGGGTAGATGTGTCTAAAGCTGTGATTCTGTCCCTAGCTGCCTTTGACACTTGCTAGGCTCTCTGCTAGCTGTTTTCCTATGCTAAGCCAGCAGAAATTTAACCTGACCAAAATGACAGTTTAATAATACCAGCTAGGTTGAGTAGGGTCATCCCATAACCAAAGCTTGAGCTTGCAGAGGGATAGGTGCACAACAGTATGCACAAGTACGTATCTGTCAAGCAGTTCAATAAATTTACCTTTCAGTATCTTTGCCAAATCTAGGGTTTAGTTTCAAGTTAAGTGTAAGTTGTTAATTATTTCCTTTATTTAATGTCTAATGGCAGAGCGCTTACAAAGTTATGATTGTGTTGTTGTCATCCATATATGTTAATTAGAATGGCTTTATTGGGTCACGCTTGGAAGTATCAGTTTGTCCAGTATCGTGTTTCTGATAGTAAATAGTAAATTCAGACAGCCAATAGTAAGTACATAGGGAAGGGAATAGTAAGAAGGAACATTTTATGATCATTCCTTAAGATCCTTCTAAGTATCTGCGCCCTGGAGACTTTTTGAGACTGATAAGGCATCCTTGAGTTTACAAGTTCCTTCGTGGAGCTTGCATTTGTCCTATTACTTTCTAAATCTTTAAAATTTTGGGACTCATTCCCACAAGACATTGCAGATCACAAAGTTTAGCTACAGACCATGTGCAAAAAAATTTTGTGTGTTTGAACCCCCCTTAATAATGTCAACTACTGTTCCCTAATGGTTGCATTTGGAAAATAGTTGTGCTTTATTTATCTTCTCTTTGCTGCCTATAATTCTGTACTTGTGTTTTCTGTTTTGTGTGCTCCCTTTTTTCAGGCTGAGCCATCTAAGTAGCATATTTCTGCTTTTACTCTGTCTTTTTTGACCGGGGAGGCCTCATGGCATACATTACTGCATCTCTGGGTACACTGTGGATTCATACAATAGAATTGTATTTTTGGTTTGGCACTTTTAAGTCTTTCCAAAGTTTTGTTTCATTTACTTTATGATAGCTGTCCAGCTAGAGTTTCTGTTGGACTGCATGACTATGTGACTGATCTTTCCTAACACAGAGCTCCTTTGCTAGGAGCATTTTTGCATTTGCCAGTGTTGAATTTCTGGTAATCTCTTGCACAATCCTTTCACAAGTAAGAGGGTTCTGCAACTGGTATAATCATGCCTAGGACCTGGGATGAAATTAGGACTACATTACATGTGATATTATGCAAAAATGCAGAGTGCTTTGGTTTGCCAAGGTGATTTTAATCCAGGGGCAAGACAGAGGACAGCTGATGAATACAAAGAATTGCAGCAAAAAATTTATAAGCAAAACTGCAGTGGCCTCAAAGAAGTTTGTATAGATACAGTATTATTCTGAGAAATTAGCCCTTCTATTGAGTTTAATAAGCAGCATCAAATGAAACATCAAGTGCTTGTTTGGCAATTTTACAAACAGAGAACAGAGACTGCCAGCTGTTACCGTGATGGAAGCAGCAGTTAGCTTTCAGTGTTAAATGTGAGCGCATAGCTAGTGTGAGCATTATCCGGGGGGTGGGGAAGTCAAAGTAAGCAATTTATGGTTAATGTCATGGAGCAAGAATCATGAGGAAAGCAGAGAAAGGGTGATGTGTTAGCCATACAAGTCAGCATTTGTATATGTTCAGTAGGATAAGCAAGGGGGAGTTAAACAGAGTGAGTTGTGCATGTTCTTCTGTTTGTCTGCTGTGGTTTGGTTTGGTTTGGGTTGGTATGCACTGAGGATAACAGGAGCTTTAAATCTGTCATTTCCACACCGAATTGGGTATGCAGTGACTGGAGAATGAATGGAGTCCCCAGTGTGATAAGCTACACTGCAGAAAGGAAGGCCAGGTTATTTGCTTTTAAGGCATTGAAATGCCAGGGCAACTCAGAGATCAGTCTTACCTAAAACATCATGAAGACCTTGCTTGACATAATACTCACAAAATAATTGTAAACAAAAGCATTGTATTTTTGTTAGTTTACTAACTAGCATCTTAAAAACAAGAAAAAAATTGACATTTTTATTTACCTTTCTAGTTCTAGGGCCAATGATTAGTTCTGTGACAAGACAGCATGACACTTTGAGTATGACAGAAGCCCTGATACTGCAACAGAGGGTGGGAATATTAATGGCCAAATCTAGGTGAGTGATTTTTAATTCTGCCAGTTCCCTAGCTGTTTAATTTCTTCCTCATAGCCTTGGTTCACATCTCTCCTTTGAAGCAGCATTTTGGTTCTTGGTTTTCTGAAATATTATTATTAGAACATATTTGAGACAAAATAACAAGCTTGTATGATTATTGATTACATACTTTTTCTTTGTTGTTCCTGAGATACAGAGGCCGTGCCTCAAACATCTTCATATACTACAGCTTTCTTCTTGCAACTCTAAGGATTTTTTTTTTCTCCAAAGTGCTTTGCATTTTAAGTTCTGGGATTTTTTTAAAAGTTTTTTTAGAGAAGCAGGCACCAGTCTTCAACAGACTTGGTCAGTTATTTTATGCTGAATGCATAAAAAGTCTGATACTGACAGCATGCAGCTATGTAGTTCTGTTTGCACTACAAAACATTTGAGGAGATCTAAGTCTGGGCTTTATTCAGTGCATGCATTGGTGCTTGAAGGCTGCTAGAGGCATATGCAACTATGTTGTATGGACCAGAGTGTTCACTGTTAATCTGCATTGAGGCTATTGTCACCTGTTGTTCTTCATAGCAGGGGATTCTCAGGGTAAATAGCACAGTGTCACAATATCTGAAAATCACTGTAGTGAGGCACTGTGGGTGCCAGGGCAGGAAACCAGGAACAGGTATTATTACCTGTATCTCCCTTTCTAAATAGAAGAGGTAGAAGAACTACTACTACAGCTACTGCAGTACTGCTATAAAAATTTCAAAATTTCAAATGCAGAAAAAAAAAGTTGTGTGTAGCATAGCTTCTTTCTACAACAGTAGAAGCAAACAAGCAACCCCCAGTTTCATTTTGAATTGGGGAAAAAAATCTTTGTTAATATAATGCATGTTTTCATGTTATGGCCAGAAATTACATTAAATAATCCATGATTTTGATTAGGTGTCTAGTATTTTGCCTCTTTATGACTGGATTAATTGGAGCAGTGTTGTTATTTCTGCAGGGAGTTCTTGGTGGCTGATTTACACAGTCTCTAGAGTTAAGAGTATCTCTTTTGGATGGCTTTTCTGATCAAAAAAAGTGGAAGAGTTAGCTGCACTTCAATGTATTCTTTGCACCTCAAACCTTAGCAGACTAAAGTTCTACATGGAAACTACTGCTTCATGCTAATAAAAATTACTATCTAGAAACCAAGTCATGGTTTTCTTAAGATGACACTGGATTTTTTTCCCCTCTAGTTAGGAAAACTTGTCAGCCTGTTCTGTATTCTTCCCTCTTGATTTCTAATGTGAAATCTGTGGTTGACTTAATAGCTCTCTTCTAGGATTTTGCCCCATTTTTCATTTGTGTAGTGGAAATTTTAATTCCTGTCCAATATAAAGATGATGTAAATGGGTAAAGTTTTCTTTTGTCAGACTTTCTTGTATTTAAGAAATATGAGACTTAACCCCTTTTTCATGGTGGGAGAGGGTGAAACAGCAAGTTGTGAGACTTCATTCTGTGAACATTTTATCATACTGTTTTGTCAAAGTTTTGCCATACACACAGAAATCTTTAAATTAAAATACCAAAAATACCAAGCTGGTTTTTTGGGTTTCATTACTTTAGCCATGCTGTTCAGTGTTACATGAGTATTTTACTGTTTTAAAGTGAATGTGTAACACAATTTAATCCAAATGGAACTTAATAGAAATAAACCCCAAGTTTTTAAATATTTGTGTTGAATCTGGGGTTTTTTTTCCTTCCCTTGTATTTGATGACATAGTTTGATAGACACTGCTATATGGGGAGTTTTCAAAATTGGAAGCACAGAGCTTCAGTGCGTGGCTGCCAGCACAGGGCTCCCTGCAGGCCTGGAACGCCTCCACCCAGGAGCTGCCAAAGCCAGGGCAGCCTTTCAGGATTGCCACATGGGCTCTTTGTGTTGCCTGTGCCTGGTAACCTGCTACAGCCCAGGGCTTCTGGGGGCGTCTCTAGTGCTGTGCTTCTGAGCCAGGGAGTGCTCATTTAGGTGGAACTGGAATTCAGATAGCAGCCTTGTGTAAAAGCGTGGTTTAAGAAATGAATATCTCACACAATAAGTATGGTTGGGTTTTGTTTTCCTCTAAGCTGCAACCATGGGAATTAAGGTGACAAATCAAATGAGTCTATTTGGTAGTAACCTCAAGCTGAGTTATTGGTAGGACTTTAACAGCTCAGTGTTGCCTCCTCTTACTGTCAAATCTAAATTAATGATCATATTTTAGTATCTATGTTGATTTTTTTAATTACATGTGACTGGAAGATTCATTATGAAGAATTGTATGTCAGAGTAATTTGCATTGGGTTGTTTGTTGATGTTACTTCATTTTTACTTCAACTTAATTATCATTTTGTTGGTTGTTTTTTTTTCCCCTTTAGAGATCAGATGGTCTTCTAAAGAAGTCATGGGTAGCTGTTGTAGCTGTCCAGATAAAGAAACTGTCCCAGATAACCACCGAAACAAGTTTAAGGTATGCAAGCTGGTGTGATAGGCTGTGAACTATTTTGTTGTTTTCCTTCAGACTAGGTCTGTGATTAAAAAAAAGTTAATGAAAATAGAGTGCAAATTTCTGAACAGTTGAAACACTGCAGAGTTGCAGGTGCCTGTGGCTACAGGTTTCTCTTGTGCCTTTGAGAAACCCTTTCTTATTAGCAGTGACAGGAATTCCCTAGATAGAGTAGGCTTTTTAGGACCGTTTTGATCTTCAGGAAAGAGAAGAAGCACTGTGATTTTCATCCATCTCTATTTCAGATGGTAGAGCCCCAGTAAGTGTTGTTGCCTATGGAAGGTTATAGAAGGTTAAATTAGGAAAGGAGTCCTTAGCATAAGGGAATAAATAGCTTTTGGGGAAGTGTGATTATGAACCTGAAAGTGGGGCCATCAACAGAAAATTTTGGGACTGCTGATTTTACTTGAAGGTCGCTGCTAATTACACATTTTGAAAACTTGTCCTTTATGTGGAGAAATTTTATTTCTAAGTGCCCTTTTATCTCATATATTTCCGGAATTTATAAGCTTGCGATCACTCGTTCATGTGCTTGATAAACTAAACATGAAGCAGCTGAAGTCAGTGACTGTAAGTCAGTGTACCTTTGCATAGGTCACAGTGTTAGATTTGCTTCTGTGATCCAAACTGTCTGTGTGAGTTGACAAAGGAATGTAATGCTTCCATAGTGAAAATTGATTCATGTCTTGCCTGCGGGCAACAATGAAATGAGCTTTAAAGCCATGGGAACTTCTGGAAATGTTTAATATTATCAGTTAAGAAAGCTGAAGGATAAAATATTTTTCTGTTTTCTTGCTCTTTATGCATTACTTTGTGTAAATAGTTCCTATTTTTCTCCTTGTAGAGCTTCTCTGTTGTTTGTTTAGCAGTGGGGTTGGGGGGGTGGGGGAGGGAGAGATGAAATAATGTAATCTTTCATCATGTAAAAGTGAAGAAAATGGGCATAAGCCTCACAGGCAGGTGAAACGATTCCTAATTATTTTAAATTGACTAGATTTCAGGTTGAAAATGTATTTTTAAGAGTAAAATTAATTCTGTAGGGAAATTTTTTGAATCCTTTTTTATTGATTAAGAAAGAATCCCACTAAAAGCAGTATTGTGAGGTAAAATAGAGGGAAGTATATGTTGACCAAATTCTATAAAGGATGCAGATGACCTCAAAACTGGCTTAAAAGCAGAAAGAACAAGAGTTTAGCTTTATACACATCTTTTCACACAAGATAACTATAAGGAATTTGAATTATTTGTTGACTTTAAAAAGGCAGCAAAATATTTAAAACTCTCGAGTGATTCAGCACAGTGCAAGGCTATACATGTATGTGAAGGAAGCTTTATCTTGGAGCCACTTACCCTTTCTCATTCCGTTTCCCAACTGTAAGTGGGGTTATGTGACAAAGCAAATATTTTTTTTTTTTAAACAAATGGGGCTCTAAAAGATTCCATTATCTGAGGTATGCCTTATCCATATGGGAATACTAGAATATGTACATAAAGCCAGTTAAAAAAATATTTAACTTACAAATCTCTTCTACTTTAAATTTCTCATCAGATTTTACAGTAATGTTAGTCAGCCTCATTTGTATTGTTTTTAAATAGGTATTATTTAAATTTTTAAAGTTCTGGGTTAGGGTAGCACAGGAACTAGTTTGTTGAGGTTTTTTTTTAAACATTCACTTCAAGGATTGTAACTAATATGATAGATGGAGACAGATGGAGTCTACCAGTCAGGCATTAAGATTATTAAAAGTTGTGTTGTTTCTCAAAAGAGTAATTACCTAATGCTTTTCAATTTCTTTTTTACAGGTTATTAATGTGGATGATGATGGTAATGAACTGGGTTCTGGCATAATGGAACTTACAGACACAGAACTAATTTTGTACACCCGTAAAAGGGACTCTGTAAAATGGCACTACCTCTGTCTCCGTCGCTATGGCTATGACTCAAACCTGTTCTCTTTTGAAAGCGGTCGAAGGTGTCAAACTGGACAAGGTATGTGGAAACGTTGTATATAGAGCTTTTTGGAAATTTATTTGATGTTAGAAGATATTTGCCAGTCCTTTGGCAAGAGTTATAAAGGCTATAGTTCTATATGTGAATGTGGTTTCTAGAAATAAATTACCTTATGAGGAATGCTCTTCTGGTAGAATGAGGATTTGAGTTGCACATAGTTTTTGGCATTTGCAGGTCTGCAGGACTTCAGGTTTCTATGTGAGTATTCTTCTGGTCAGCTTAGGAGGTGGTTTTGACAGGGAAATTCACCTGCCTCAGAGGTTGACTTGACTTCCAGGAGGAGGCAGTAGAATCTGAAACTGTGGAGGAATTCCCTCAGAATTCAAATAATTCTCTATTTTTAAGATTTTAAAAGCCTGGAGCACTGATATGAACAGGATGTTCCCACCTTATTGTCTTCAGTAACACACTTGTGTTTCATCCTCTTCCTAAAGCAAATACCCCTTTCATTAAGATGAGTGATGTAATTCTCAAATTTTGATGTTTTTGTATGAGGTGTGTATACTTCAGCTATGCTCAGTTATTTTTTGAGTGGCTTTCATTGGAAAAAGATGGTTACCTTTCCAGTACCCAGACCATGCCTGCCTTGGCCAAGGTTGGCTCCCTGTGAGAACATTCAGGTGTTTCTCTCTTCCCTGCAGCAGTCCCCAAGGGAACAGCTGTTTCTGCTGAGCTGTCACCCTCAGTTTGCATCTTCCTTCTGTAAAATAGCTGTGGTTAGAATTCCTATGCATTCGTATGCTGTCAATTTAAGTTCCAATGTTCTGGATTTTTGGCATTTACCAGTGTTCTTATCAATAATTTTAGACATTGAGAAATTGTAGGTTTTGTTTTTTAATTTCACTGTTAAAAAGTCAGAAAGATGGAAGAACTGGATCATAAATAAACCTTGTCAATATTCATTGTCCAAGCAGAAGTATAGGAAGAGAAGTTTTTTTTTAATGGGAATTTAAGATGTACACTCAGCTCATCTCCTAATGAGAAATGGAGATATTTTCAAACACTGAAGTATACTCCATACTAAACTAAATTTTCATAATTCTTAAAGTAATAAACTTTGTTTTGAAGATAATCACTTTATTGGGTTTTGCAGGTTTAATTTACTACTTCTTCTGAACATTGAAAACAGATACTAATAATACTTAATTGAAAATATTAATCTGAAGGTTATGTCTCTACAGTATACTAGCAAGTCTGCAAAATCTTACACCAAGTCTAATTGACTTCTCTGCTTTCCTTCTAATTTTTTTTTGTAAACAAGATTAAGCAGGCTGTGTAAGCAGCAACTCTTTCCTCCCTCTTTTGTTGCTTGCATTCCTTAAGTAATACTAAAATACTGTGAATATTGAGAAAAAAGAAATCTGGCAGAAAATGTTCTCTGCTGCCCTTTTGCAATGGAACATTGTTCCTGAGATCGACAGTGGGTTTTGTGGGCACAGTTGCAAAACTTCCATCTTCTCTTCATGGGATGGCCAAGGAGTTTTTCATTTGAGAATTCCCTGAATACTGCCCAGCAACTTCTTCTATTAGCCACTTTCTGATTTTTCTTTAATATCAAGTTATTTCTATTGATAAATTGTGAGAAGCAATGATGGTGAAACATTGAGTTTGTGCTAGGTGTTAAAAACCTTGCAGACATGTCTTGGGAGCACATCTGCCAGAAAATTCAGGATATAAAACCTGGAGAAGTTGGTATGTCACCATGTTGTGTGACAGATCACATTGTATTTAATACAAATGTATTTAAAGGCGACTGAATTTCTCAGAAACCTACTGGGAGCTTTTTAAAGTTTGTGAACCTAGATTTTAAAAAAATTCTGGTTTTGTCCATTAAGATTAAAATATCCAGTGTGAATGTTCAGAAATGCACAAAAATATTAAATATGGACTATTGTACATGGCTGGATTAGGGGTCAGGGACATATAGTAGAAGCTCTATAGCTGCAGTGTTGCAAACATGAAGCTTATTCAGTGCAGCAGCTGTAGCTAATAATTAATTATAAACTAATTAATTATTAATAGTAATAATTAGCGAAACATTGTTCCTCATAGCCCATTTGGTGTATTCCCAGCTGGGGTTGTGTGATCTTCTGCCATGTGAAGCATTTCTGGTGGTTCTGATCTGTCACAGCGCTTCATCCCTAAATAAATATATGATGATAGTAATTGCCAGCATATTCACATAACTGCACTTACAGAAGTGGCTGTATAGGTAGGTAGTTTTCAGTAAAGAGTGTTTTAAGATTGTAATACTCACTTTAAAAATGAGCACCTGCACCCACGTTTAACAAGCATGTCAACTTTAACTTCATGCTTTCAATGGAAGAATAATCCAAAGCTTCGACTTTGCTGGTGAGGGTAAGTTGGGACACTCCCTGCTGCTCAAAGGCAAAGTGGCACAATACACACGCAAGATACATGGTATTGCTGCTAACTTTGTGTTCTGTGTCTATCCTTTAGCCTAAAGCAATTAGTTTGTTACTGTCTGTTTCACACAGTTTGTCTTACTGGCTTTTCATTTTAGTCTTCTTAAAGAAGAAGACTAAAGACTTTCTGTTGTGCAGGTATCTTATTTTTATGGTAGTTTAATAGAAATCTGATTTAGGAAATATGACTTTGTAGCACCACTGTAGTTTCATTTAATGTTTTTTAAAATATATATTTATTTGACAGGTATTCTTTTATTCAGCTTTAAAAAAAAAACCCACTTTGTTTTTTTCCCCTTACTTAGCACTCAAAACTTAGTTTTGCTCCTAACTGAATCAGTTTTCTGTTCTAATTTAACTTCTGGTGCATGGGAACCTTATCCTTCTATTAGATAACCACTTTAAAGGTTGTCACAGTAATTTTGTGTGTTTTAGTACAATAAAAATTTCAATAACACTTTTGCTCCTTTAACAGGTATTCATTATGTGGATTCCAGTTCTAGTTCTGGAAAGCTATATATATTGCAAGGCATGTTTCTGAGTTAGAGGGTTTTGATTTTTTTTTTTTTTTTGTGTGTGTTTATAGGAATCTTTGCCTTTAAGTGTGCCCGGGCAGAAGAGCTATTTAACATGTTACAAGAGATAATGCAGAATAATAGCATAAATGTGGTAGAAGAACCAGTAGTAGAAAGGAATAATCATCAAACTGAGTTGGAAGTACCAAGAACTCCTCGAACACCTACCAGTAAGTATGGTTCTACTGTCAGATGACATACCTGAATGTAATGTGGTACTTAGCTGAAAATAGCATTTGATTTGAATTTAATCTTTTAAGTAATTAAAAGGAAGGCTAATTTAAAGCTAAGAGGCTAATTACCAGTAATGCATTCTCTTGAGATACTTGCTGAGGATTATCTTCAAGAAAAAAGTTTTGGGAACTTACTTGTTGCATAAGAACACTTACGAATACACCTTTTGAATTGTTTTATGATATATCAACATGCTTTACCTGTAGCATTTCAAATAAATGTTAATGTTGGGCAATGTTTCAGACTTCTTATTAGGGGGAAAAACACTGTTTAAATCACATGTGCAGTTGGTTTGGAATCTTTCTTTTGCTCTGAGTAGATGAATGGGTGAGTGAAGTATTTACCTAAAATTTTCTGGTATTTTTGAAATCCCAGGCAGATGGCTTGATATTTGAAACTAGGAATTCCAGTTATTGATGATTTCAGAGAAATGGAAGCTTAGGTAAAGGAATCTCTGTTTGTCAGGGAGAGACGTTAATGGGGGAAAGAGAAGCTGGAGGGACTTTACTGGGTGTGTAATACACCTAGGTTTCAGTGGTTGCTTCAGAAGTGTGTTCCAGTAAATACCAGGATACTGGTCTGTTTTCCATTTCCTTCCTTCAAGCAAAATTGAGCTTTGTGACTATTTAATATTATTTTACATATTTCACTTTCTCTTTTGAAAATTAATCTTAAGATATAAAGTATCTTATTCATATACAGTAAAATGTTCTATTTTAATATGGTTGTTTTCTAATTGAATCAGCTCCTGGGTTCAATGCACAAAGTTTACCCAACGGCTATCCCAGATACCCATCTTTTGGAGATGCTTCATCACACCCTTCCAGCAGACATCCTTCTGTCGGCAGCGCACGCCTCCCCTCTGTCGGTGAAGAATCAACACATCCTTTACTTGTAGCAGAGGAGCAAGTGGGTGTTTTTTTCCCTTCGTACAGCTTAGGTTCTACATTACTTCAGATTTTTCTGATGATTGTTCTGTAGGCTTTCACTTGCGTTTTCCAGTATCAGTGTAATGTATTCCTACAGTATTTTAACTACCTCAGAAAAGTGTTTGCCTTGCCTCTTTCAATTGATACTTTGTAGAATGGCTTGCTGAGGAATTTATAGTTCATATAAAAATAAAGATACAGGAAGTATGTGTTTGTGTTATACTCTTCAAAAATTTCAGTAACTGTTTTTAAACATGAATAATTGAACATTATAATGAGAGATCCTGGTCTCTTTATACAGGAATTCCTGTATACAGGAAAAGCTTCTTTATATTAAGTCTTCTATTTGCCAAATAGAAATCATGGAACAATTTACGTTAGAAGGGACCTCTAGTCCTCTAGATTAAAGTTTTAAGTTAGAGACAGCTGCACAGAGCCTTGTGCTGGTCATGTTTTGAATACTACAGGCAAGGAGATTCCACAGAATCTGAGCCATGTGTTCCAGTGTTTCACCATTTTTGTTGTGAAATCATTTCTTTCTAATATGTTATCAGATTTTTGCCTGCTATATCTGGTGTTGGTTGTCCCTTGGCCTTTTGCTGAACATCCCAAAAAGGGTCTGGCTCTGTCTTTGCTTTATATGTTAGGTGGTTGAAAACAGCTATTAGGTGGTTCCCTGCCTTCTCTTAAAATGGAGCTAAGATGGTGTCCTCAGCTTCTCCTTGTATGTCATGTGCTTCAGCCCCTCTCTAGTCAAGGCCCTCCACTGGACTTGCCTCAGTATGGTGCTGTCTTATACTCTGGAGCTCAGGTTCAGTCTGATGAGACCTGAATTGATGGTAACAGTAACTTTCCTCAGCTTAGTGGCTGTGCTATTGCTAACACAAACCAGTGCATATTTGGTTTTCATTGCTGCAAGAGCAGACTGCTGACTCCCATTCCCCTTACCATCCACCTGGACCCCTGAAATTTTGCTGCAAGGCTGTTTTCAATTAGTTGGTGTCTAGCCTGTACTGTTGATGTTGTTTCATACCAAGCACAGGATTTTCTATTTGCTGTTGCTGAACTTCCTAAGGTTTCTATGAGGCCAGTTCTCCAGGCTGATGAGATCCCTCTCAGTGGAAACCCTGCAAGTCTGGATAGACTGAAAACTGTCAGAGTATGTTTCTCTCTCATCATTCTGGTTACTGATGAAAGTGATAGTCATGTGTGACAAGAAACAGTGTTGGAAACCAGAGAAGGTAGCCAGAGCAGAGTGCTCTGAACTATCTTGTGGGAAAAGATTTGTTAGGAGCCCTCACAGAAGAGCTCCAGAGTTATCATTGAAGTTACTGAATAGTGAGTTTAAAAAATCAGTGGAGGAGTGAAGTGAGCTAGTAAATGACACTTCAGCTTGCAGAGCTTGACAGAAGGGCTGGCAAGCTGCATGACTGCTGCTGAAAATGCTACTTTTGCTGTTTGGGTATCCAGACATAGAATTAAAGTTTAGAGAAGGAATCCAGTCTTTCCCATTCAGCCTTGTATTGATCCACTGTGGAAATTGGAGGGATATAACCTCCTGCTTCTTTTTAATTCTGAGTGCTACACTTCATATGGAATTGTATATTTTTCTACTTGAGTTCCTGTTCTTAGGAGGCTGTTGTCTCTTGAAGAAAGAACGGGTAGTTCTTCCTGTAGACCCAACCTCTTTTTGTTTCTGGAGCAGTACACAAGGCAAGAGACTGAGGGTTTTCTTAGGTCTCTCTGTGGTTTTCTTTTTGGTTGTTTTTTACTTGTATGGACAGCAGATTTCCTTGCAGTTTGGAAGTTATGAACATTAACTTAGCCAAAGTAACTGTTGGTGTTGGTCACTGGTAAGGGACAGCAAAGTAGAGCTCTCAGTGATCTGCCTAGGTAAAGTAATGAGCTCAGTTGAGGCAGCCCAAGGTGGCCTTGATTAGAGCCAAGCTCTAGAACTAGAGCACAACTGAGATAAAACATAAAATAAAAATAATTATCAGTGTAAGAAAGAAATTCTGTTCCTTCATTAGGGGAATATAACTAATAACAATTTCAGGGAAAAAACCTAAAATTGACTACAGTTCAGTATAGTGAGAGGTGACTTTTGCTCTTAACACCTGCCATCACAAGTTTTTCTTTTCAGGTATTTTGATTAGAAGAGTGGAGAGTTAATACATTTGAAGGGGGGGGAAAGGCACAATAGCATTTGAATTTCTTCTCTTTTCTTTCCCTTTTAGGTGCACACTTACGTAAACACTACTGGAGTACAAGAGGAAAGAAAAAATCGATCAAGTGTGCACGTGCCACTGGAATCAAAGCTTTCAAACACTGAAACAACTAAAGTGAAAGAAGAACAGATGTGTACTGATGACAGAGATGCTCAGGTTCTCCTGGAGCCTGAAGGAGTGAAGTTTGTTTTAGGACCAACACCTGTTCAAAGGCAGTTAATGGAAAGAGAAAAACTGGAACAACTTGGGAGAGATCAAGTTAGTGGCAGCAGCACAAACAACAGTGAATGGGACACTGGGTACGACAGTGATGAACGTAGAGAGACACCATCTGGTAATAAATTGGTGTATGAAAATATAAATAGGTTATCAATCCCTAGTGCCTCAGGGGTCAGGAGAGGTCGCTTGACATCAACCAGTACCTCAGACACCCAGAACATTAACAACTCTGCTCAGAGGAGAACTGCGCTGCTGAACTACGAGAACTTGCCATCCTTGCCTCCTGTTTGGGAAGCCCGCAAGCTGAGCAGAGATGAAGATGACAGTTTAGGACCAAAGACCCCATCTCTGAATGGCTACCACAATAACCTAGATCTAATGCATAACTATGTCAATACAGAGAATGTAACAGTACCAGCAAGTGCTCATAAAGTAGAATTTACACGACGTCGGGACTGTACCCCAACAGTCTTTAACTTTGACATTAGGCGTCCAAGTTTAGAACACAGGCAGCTCAACTATATACAGGTTGACTTGGAAGGTGGTAGTGACTCTGACAACCCTCAGACTCCAAAAACCCCCACCACTCCACTTCCGCAAACTCCAACCAGGCGCACAGAGCTGTATGCTGTGATAGACATTGAAAGAACTGCTGCTATGTCAAGCTTGCAAAAAGCACTGCCCCGAGATGATGGTACTTCTAGGAAAACTAGACATAACAGTACTGACCTGCCTATGTGAGCCTGGGGAGCATTGAATCATTTGCACCTTTTGTGAAGTTTATAAAATTGAAGATGCGAGTACTTTGCATTTCTTAACACTAACGCCTTTTATAGACTAATAGAACTTCTGCATACTTCATGTACTTGTCTTACTAAAGGGAATTAATGTAGAGCAAGTATTCATTTTAGGTAACACTATTTCATTCTACAGTAGAAGTAATTACTGCATAGCAGCATCACCACCTTTCACAGTGCCTCTTTAATTGATTAGAATCTGAGTGACATGCCAGTTTTGAATTTATAAATATTCTGGTCTGGTGCCTATACTCATTAATGGCATTTATAACACTTTTTAAAGCCTCTTGATATGTGCATTATTAGCAGGTAAACCTAATCTTTCAGTATACATATCTGACGTTCGTTCCTCATTGAAGTGGTTCCTCCAGAAATAAATGTATGTAATACATTAATTCATTCAGTTTGACATACACAAGATATATTGGTTCATCTCACCACATCTTTTTTTTCTGTGGGCAAGAAGGCCTCTAATTACTGACAGTTTTCTTAACTTGTGTGATACTTGAGAAGTCACACTGACGATTGTTGATCAGAGCTATAAAACACATCAAAAACCAGCCTTAAGCTCCTTCCTTTGGAATAAAATTCCAAGTGACATATCAAATTCCCTCTGAAATCTGACAAAATTTTAATCTCATTAGAGTTTTGGTTTTTTTTTGTGAAGGAATTCACAGGTGGGCTGTATGAATCAAGGCTATCTTGTCATTTCTTATTTCAGTGTGCCTTCTTTTCTTTGCATTTGTGTTTCCTTTTTATTTGTTCTATAATGTCTTGTTTTAAAAGTCAAAATTTTGTACATAGCTTTAATTGTTCAGGGTCATCTTTGTATTTGTCTTACTCTGCATTTGACAAAGCGAGACTCTTGAAGGTAAAATGGTTCTCTTTGTCCAGTGTTCTACTTTTTTATGCCTGACAGAAATATTCCAGCTCTCCAGCAGCATGCATTATTGCACAACTGGAAAGGTTTATTATGCAGTTATTGTCTTCCTCTAAAGTATCAAACACAGGTTACACGGGAGGCAGGGTACTGGACTTGATAGTTCTTCATAGAAAGTTGTACGTTCTAGAAATGTGCATCCATAGGTGGTAGTGTACTTTTAATTTAAAAGGATACGTAGTAAATTATCTGAAGGTAGTATTATCTATGAACATACTTGCTTTCCTTTTGCAGTTGGTGAATTTGGTTACAATGATGGCTGCTCAGTGTTACAGGTACAGCCAGGTAGAATGTTGTTTGTTGAATATTCCAGAGGCACCCTTAGAAGTGTTTTTTTCTGTTTATTCATAACTCTGAATAATCGTAGAATTCTGGCAGTATTGCAGGTGCACCTTGGTACTAGCAGCAGACGAGATTGCTCTTGAGCCCGTGATTGCAAAGGAACTGACACTTGTGTGAACTGGTATGACGTAAAATAACCCTTGAACTGTGAGGAAAAACATGCAAGAAAAGCCATTTGGAGATCTGAAAAAGCATTAAGGGTCTCCATGCAATATTTGAATTGAAGTTTTATAAAAACCAAACTACAATTACTTTCTGTCTTTTAAATTGGTGTGTATTTCTGTTCCTACAACTTTTTTCTTTGGTCTTCTCTCATTTAGTAGTGGCAGCAGTAGTAGCACCTGAAATATATGTCTCTTGCCATACCTAATGGTACCACCTTTTCACTCTGGCTTTCGTTATTCTTTACAGACTGTATGGTACTGAAATACCAGATGGACAAAGAAAATAATTTTCTGAAGTAAAAGATAGGAGTCATTTAGACCATTGTGAGGAACTTAAAAGAGAATTTTTTTAAAAAAACCTTAATAATTACTTCATGGTCAGTCTCTGCATATTCTTGTTAGAGACTGGCTGACTTGTGAGGAGACATTGGTACTCAAGAGGGTAAAGACTACCTAGAGCTAGGCATTTTAAATGTTGTAGCCAGGTAGGGGTTGGTTTCTTCTGCCAGTCAGCCAGCAACAGGACAAGAGGGCATTGGGTTAAGCTGTGCCATGTAGATGTTAGCAAGAAATTCTTCACAGAAAGGCTAATTAGGCATTGGAATGTGCTGCCCAGGGAGGTGATGGTCCCTGTCCCTGGAGGTGTTCATGGAAATAGTGTACATGGCAGTTGGTGCTGTGGTGTGGTTGACAAGGTGGTGTTCAGTCCTAGGTTGGCTTCAGTGATCTCAGAGGTCTTCTCCAAGCCGTACTGATTCTTTGATTCTGTAACTGCTCCCTCACATCTTTGTCATTGCCTCACCTTACGGACCTCCTGGTCTGTACTGAAGAGAAATTACCATGTATTGCAAAATACTTACTGGGTTAATAATATTGGTGTGATTCTTGTTCTTAGCGTACAGCTCACTTAAATTGGTGAGCTGAACTAATGCTTCAGCATGTGTTTTGAGGCAAACCTGTTTGATCTAGCTAGCTGCTTAGAAATATATGGTCCTCATCTGTATGGTTTGGACTAATTAACTGGACCCTTAAAATACACCTGTGAGGTGGGGAAGTAATAATATTCTTAACTACTAAATAGAGAAGCAGAGGCTTTGGGTAGATCATAAGTGACCTGCTGAAATTTTTACAAGCAGCCATATCCCTCCTTAGTTCCAGTGCACTGTCCTATGCATTTATTTTGAATAGTCTCAGATAAAAAAAATGGTCTGAGCAAGTTTTTTACATTGTTGCAAGTTTCAGAATGTTTTCTTAGCTCTGGTCCCCAGAATTGAGAACATACTGAAATTCAACTGTCTGTAGCCTTAATTATATTAAAAGTCTGATGACATATTTTCCAGGACTACTTTTTTTAACCTGTTACATTTTACAGGTAGGATATTGCTTTCTCGTTTTGTGTAAGCTGCAAACATACTGGGTAGTCCCTGTCACCCACACTACTCATCTTTAGCATTCCTTATTTTCTGCCCCTTGAAGTAGATGCAGTTGCAATGCACTTTACCCTTTGAGACTTGGTAAATATTTTTTCAATTCAGTCTCTCTTAAAGTCTGTGATGTTAGATTTAGTGTCTGTAATATAGGATTCAGTTTTCAGCTGAAATCTCTCAATGGAGTTTAGATCATATTTATTTTGGGCCCACAGGTGTATAGACTGAGAAACTAGAAATATGTAACCATTTTCTTTAGTAAATGTGGCATGTTGAGTTTACATAAACTAGGTCCTGTAAAAACGATAGCATCTCCATCAATTCTACTTTTCATCCATAACATACAGTTTATTGCTGCCCTTCAGATACATTTGACAAGGAGAAACCTTTAATTGTAGGTATTCCTTTAGTGCAATGATTTGGGAAAGACATACATTACTGTATCTTTTAAACAAGGGAACAGAGTTGTTAAAGAAAACAAAAAAGTGACCAAAAGTACATAATAAAGATAGTGCTAGAAATACAGGGAGTGAGAATTTATTCCATTTTTATATCAGGAAAATATTATTTTCCTCAAAATTATGTCAGAAGGAGGACCAATAGTTTTAATTTTTGTGGTGGTTTTTGCTGACTTCCTAAAACCATATTGAAAAAGACCATTCTGAAAACCATTACACTCATTAGAACATCTTTTATTTCCCCCAATAAGTATGTTTTGCATTTGACAGGGGTTGAATCTGATGATGTACATTGAAGCACTATTCCTATTAAAGTCTTCAGAGCTTTTATAGAAAATATAATTGCTGAAGTAGAAATTTCATATAACTTGATAAAATGTCCTTCTCCCCCCGATGTTTGGATATTTGTGTTTGCATCTCTGACTAGGGCTTGAGTGTAAAAAGGATCTTGGAAATATGTAAACTGTATGGATTCCAAACCAGTGTCAAAACAGGGCTGCTTTTTATAGGTGACAGACCAGCAGCTGATTTTGCTGGTTTTATAACACTGTGTATTGGCTCAAAATCTGGCTGTTCTTGTTCTTGTTTTATGTTTAACCACTTCTCAATTGGAGAGATTCAGGAGAGAGCAGATTGTTCTTGTTCATTGACAGTGAAGTAAACATGGAAATTCTGATTAATTCCAGTTACTATTTTGAGTATATAATGATGTATCTGATTTGGACTTCTATTTTTAAGCAGTATTCCTCGCTTCATGTAAGGTGAGATCAATGGTGGAATTCCATTTCTGCACTGTACTAATTTATTTAATGGCTGCAAATAAGATGAAACTAATGGAGTAGGAACTAGTAGTGGACTTAAATCTGAAATTCTATTTCCCCTAAAGGAGTCCGGTCCTTCATTGTGATAGAGTTAGGTATTTTTGGAATTTAATGATATGATCTTTCCCATCTCTTCCTTGAGGTAGCAATTCAGGCATTTATATTTGACAGTATTTACTTAATATAAACCTAAGTTCATTTATTATGTCTTTATTTTTAATTCATATACACTCCAAGGAAAAAAAATCCAGAAGAAATTCCACCACAAAAAACTGCGTTAAGATGGAGTCAGGTTTGCTGATGTCCTTCTTACAGAAGATTATGAAAAAGGAAATCATGTTGAGGTTCTTTCATGATCTTTAGGAATTACTTCCTCTTTTGGACAAGATAAGTGGATCAGAAGGAAAAAAATGAGCAACTTAGCATCTGCTACTCTGACCATGTATACATTATTTCTTGTTCTGTGCTGTGCTGTAAGGTATGTGACTAATTCTGTCAGATGTCTTATGAGGATATTTTCCTAACACGGTGTTTACTCCAGATTAACGCAGTATTTTGTTTGGAAGTATGTAGGTGTACAGGTAGAAACAGAATAGGAGAAATAAGGTTGATGAAACAAGTGTTGGACATTTCTATATTTTTATACAATTATGAAGGGCATTTTTGAAAATTTTCTTGCAGTTTTAGTAATTATTTAGTGTGGTAATATACATATATTGTGACAATGTTTTCTGCTATATCCATTACTTTGGTGTAATTCTGTTTTATGTAGCAAATATATGTATATAGAAAGGAGATTATGTAAAAACTATGATTAAAAAATAGGTTCAAGCCCTTCAGAACAGGGACCGTCTTCCTCTGTGTCTATAAAGTACTAAATGCCTTGGGGTCCCAGCCAGAGCTCCCATGGGAGACCTGTAGTGACCGAATTGCCAAGTGAGGAATGTGGGGGAAGCAGCTCCTCTGCTTTCCATGAGAAGCCTGAGTATGAAAGGTGCCACGAAGCTCACCCTGCCACTCGCTGGTGCTGGGGCTGTGCTGTGTATGGCTGTTCCCAGCACCACCTGCCAAACAACCCAGCGAGCCCAGGGCCCACATCTCCTTTGCTCCGGTCCTGCCCCTTGGCAATAGGAAAGGAGGTCTGACAAGGAGCTTTGATGTTATCAGGAAATCTCCCTTGTTAGCAGGGTGATGCTTCCAGAGCTTGTTTGGTCTGCATGCAGTGTCCTTTGAAGCCGAATAAATGATTCCTGTTGACTTCAAGGGCCACTGGATGTGCTTCTGCAAGATCAAGTTCTGCTAATGTAACAGCTCTGTTATACCTGAGGACCTGGTTGGTCAAGTTCTTCAGGAATGCTCTAAAAAGATGTAAAAATATAAATATATTTAATTACATGTACTGAAAACCAAATCCTATTGGTTGTGGTCAGAGTTCAGATAAATATGGGAATTTTCATTTCTTAGTCATACTTGCATATATATTGCATTACCTATTGTGTATGAAAGAGGAAGTGATTCTAAAATATGTGAAAGATTAGGATTACACCTGTTTTTTAATGGTCACATTATTTAGGAATGGATGTCAGCGAATTTAACTCCATAATAATGCAGTTTTTTTGCATTGGAATATGTGTGTATATCATACACCCCCATTTTATATATAATATATTATATATTTGGTACTAACTTTGTATTTTGAAATTTTGCCAAATCGCGAAAACACAGATGTTCTCACTCGTAAGACTTTGGTACTGAATAACTGAATGTATAAGAAATGCTCTTCTGAGAGCACGAGAGGAAAGAGTGTTGTATGGTGTCCCACAGCCCAGATGGCTCGACCAGCAGGCACGTTGCCTTTTTCACGTCTCGCGTCATTGCAGCATCACCTTTGGTCTCTTGGAAAGCAGTCTGTGTCCCAGCCACAGCTAGCGTCAGAGCTGACTGGCAGTAGTGATACAGTAGTCACCAGTGTGCCACAAATGCGTTTATTAAATGCAGAAATAGACATTTCTACAAAGGCCAAAATCTTATGTTGTATGTTCCTTTCTTGTCATTACATTGTATCATATTGTAAGATTATTGTATGTCCTAATTTGCATTATAAAATGTTTTTTCCTACTTAAAGGCATAAATATAGCAACTTTGTATAAAGGTAGCTTTCTAGATTTTTATTTCTTTTATATAAAAAAGTCTAAACAGTGGGAGTACCATTGCCAAATTGTTTATAAAATTTCAAGTAATTTTCCCTGTTCAATAAATTTGTTTTTACAAACATTCCGTATTTCTTATACTATGCAGAAAAAATGTATTTTTATGCCATTCCACATTAATCTTAAAAATAATTTCATTTCTTTTAAGCTGTCATTATTGAGAAAGCTTACCAAATGTGCATTTAAAAACAAATGTGTTATGTACATTTTTCCCCTTACCAGTGCCAACTTCATTTGGAAAAAAAAAATTGTAGCATGGCAATAAACTATTGATTTTACATTAAAAATTGTCTGTGGGTTACTTCAGTAGTTTGCAGTGTTAGTGCCACTGTATTGTGTTTTCTGCTTTTCTTTAAATCATTGTTTCATGTACCTCTCTCTGCCCTCTTCCCCGCCTCCATACCCCACTCATTACTGAGTAGTAAAAAAC